CATACTTATTGGTTGTTGTATATGGTTTCTTGTCTAGTTTATCTTAGCGATTTAGGGGTCAATTAGGGTTAATGTGATAAATAAATACATCTTGACAGTTCCCAAGACAATACTAATTTTATTTTTAATAATGGCTGTACAGACACTTGGTCATGTCCAAGGTGTTGTTTTATATATGTATAGCTGTTGTGTTTGGTTTAGCATTAACTTAGCATTAATATTTGCTGGTTTGGCTGTTAAGTTGTGAATTGATTTCATTGCACTTGAATGAGTTGAAGTGTGAGTTGAACTGATGACAATCAGTTATGTTCTGTTGTTCTGTTTCTGTGTCTGTCTTTTAACAGGTCCTCTGAGACACCTCCCTGGGAATCACCTCACTCCAGTTTAAATTCTGTGTCAGGAGCTACTCCATGCACCTGGTGAAGTGAGTTATAGCTCACGAAAGCTCATGCCTTTTAATAAAACTTATTAGTCTGAAAAGCTGCTCCCAGATACCTCTTGTTGTTTGGAAAGTAAGGAATGGAAGCACCTCTCTTTTCCATCTAGATGGGACAGTATAAGAGTTGAATTGGATTAAGATTTTACACACACACACACACACACACACATGGAAAATCTATCTGTCTGTCTGTCTGTCTGTCAAATCTCTCTCTCTCTCTCTCTCTCTACACACACACACACACACACACACATATATATATATGATTTTAAAAAGAAAGTAAAAAAGCTAATACAAACTAATATATAGTAATAAAAAAGAAAAGATCAAAGAGAAAGTAAAAAGTGCAAGAATAAAAAAGTAAAAGGAAAAAAGAAAAGAAAAAAGAAAATAGAAATAGTTTCTGATTTTCTTTATAGCAATCATAAGTACAATTATACATTTACCTCTTACTCTAAGGTAACTCTCTTCTTTCTATAATCCATTCTATCTAATCATCAAAATCATAAATCATAAGTTCATTTTTTTTCTGTTTCACACAAAAAGTCTATAAGGGGTGAATTGGATCTAGATTTTCCCATTTGAAGGAGAGGTGGGATTGCGCAATTTGGCAGTAGGTTATTGACAATGTGGATAACAATTGAAAGTTCTGTTTGTCCAATCACATAATCTGCTAGGTTGGAGGGGCATGGCTTTCATCATCTCAAAGATCACAGCAACATTTGAAT